CGAAATGAAATGTACTCCAGCATCAATCAGTTAAAAAATTTAGCAAAAACTAGTTTTTCTAATTACTTACGAAAATATATGTATTCTTAACGTTACCTCATGCAATGCAGCTGTACTACGAAGAGTCCGAGAAACCCCTTCAAGAAAATAAAGGACATCGTTGTTACACTTTAAGTAAATGCATTTCCAAATGATCGGGCATACGTAGGTGGATTGCCAAACTGTGGGGCTGATTTAAATTTTTGAAAGATATCAATCTGGATTTTTAATAATACAATATGAAATAAAAGTGGTCCCATGGCAGTCTACGGAGCAAAATCTTCCCAGAATGATATGAGTCGGCATCTATATCTAAATATGAGAAATCATATCGTCCATCTTGACTTAACTGTAAGCCTCTTTAGGCACGAATAAAGTAAACTGAAATTTGAGGCAAATTTTGATTATACTCAAACGAATAAATCACTGGGCTTTAAAATATAAAACTCAGTTTTCGATGCCCATTTGCATATTTGTCTATTTGTTTGTTTTTCTTATAGTGTAAATGTTGATAGAAGTAAATACTAGAGACGCTGGTAGTCAAGCGGCGGTACCGGTAACTTTATTGATTTTTTAATATCAGAAGGGTAAAATAATCACAATACTTGTCGCTACTTGGAAAGACAGCTTCCTACAAATGGCAAAAATACAGTTCATCCGAGTTTGTTTGATGTTTTACTAGAAAAGATACACATGCCCCATGCCATCAAAATAGAGGCTATGCAATGGGTATAAGTATCATGAGTCGATATTAGCTTTTCCCATTAAGAAGCGTATAGAACGCATTCTCCACAGATATGTTGAACAGGACCACTATTCGACAGTTTATTCTTCTCTAGCCTAGCTGATCCCCGATGGGCTGCCTCCAACACGATTGATCATGATCTCCGTCTGAGCTGGATCGGCTCCTCGTAAGTAGTAAACCCATTTCAGTCCAACGGCAGATGCTCCAGGTGAATCCAGCTGCTGGGCTTCTGTAGCTAATTGAGATCTTGGGCCAGATGACTGAGCAGGAATGCCTCCGTTGCCACTACCACCACTAGTCGAGATAGCAGTGACTGCCGAACCTGCTACTGAAGGCTGTACGCGTCGTGCTCCGGCCGAGCCAAAGGATTGCCCACCACTCACAACTGGAGGCCCATACACCCCGGGGTATTGGCCGGACACAAGCAAACGAACGCAGGTAACTGTTAATTTGGCGACGCTGATACCTGACGAAGCTGTTCAAAAAGAATAAAGCAAGT